GAGGAGGACACCAGGATCTCTCTCACTTTTGGCAAGATCAGGGCTCTTGTCTGAGATCAGGTTGCTATAACAATACACCAGACATCGGTGGCTTAGAAACCACAGAAATTCATTTCTCACAGTTCTGGAGGCTGATAGTCCAAGATCAAGGTACCAGCAGATTTGGTGACAGCCCGGTTCCTGATACACAGATGGCTATCTTCTGTGTCCTCAGATGCTGGAAGCGGCAAGGAAGCCCTCTGGGGTTCCCTTTTATAAAGGCCTTAATCCCATGAGTGAGGATGTCACCCTCATGACCCTATCATCTCCCAAAGGCCTCCCCTCTGAGTACTGTCACACAGGGGGTTAGGAGCTGAACCCGTGAACTGGGGCGGGGACACAGACGTCCAGACTGCAGCAGTTCCTGGGCTTCTTGGGCCCTGACTTTCCCTCACTCTCTGCCCCGCATCCTGTTCCTTTCTCCTTCATGGGCTGCCCGTTGAATGAGAAGCACCAGCTGTAGAAGGTCTTTGTAGGGCCTCTGGAAGACATAGGTACCACGGGACAGCAGCCTGCAGATGCCTGTCCCACGGAGAGCACCAGAGGTTGTTGGGCTTTATCAGATAAATAACAGGAGCAATCGGCCTGGGAAGACTTGTCTTGACAAAATTAGAAGAGGTGTCTTTCTCCCTGTTCTTTGTCCTAAGACATCCCATGAGCTGACCTAGGAAGATGGGCCCAAGTGTGCGCAAATCCCATCAGATCCTTTTCCATCTCAGGATGCTGGGCCTTGGTGCTAGGCCCTCCTGGGGGAAGGAAGAGAAGAAAGAGAAGAAGCTAATGAACAGAACTGAGTTTTTTTTTTTTTTGAATACTGGACCTTGAACCCAGAGATGCTCTACCACTGAGCCACATCTCCAGCCCTTTAAAAAAAATTAAATTATTTATTTATTCTAATTTGTTATACATGATGGCAGAATGCAGTTCATTTTGTATTATACATATACACCACAATTTTTCAAGTTACTGATTGTACATAAACTATTTTTCACACCATTCGTGTCTTCATACATGTACTTAGGGTAATGATGTCTAAGTCATTCCACAGTTATTCCTACCCCCTTGCCCCCTGCCCTCCCCTCCCTCCCCTCCCCTCCCTCCCTCCCTTTGCCCTATCTAAGGTTCCTCCATTCCTCCCATGTCCCCTCCCACCGCCACTGAGTCAGCATCCTCATATCAAAAAAAAAAAAACAAAAACAAAACAAAACATTTGGCCTTTGGTTTTATGGGATTGGTTAACTCTATTCTCCAACTCCATCTATGTATCTGCAAATGCCATGATTTTATTCTCTTTTAATGCTGAGTGATGTTCCATTGTGTATATATACCAAAGTTTCCCTATCCATTCATCCACTGAAGGGCATCTAGGTTGGTTCCACAGTCTAGCTATTGTGAGTTGTGCTGCTACAAACATTGATGTGGCTGTGTCCCTGTAATGTGCTGTTTTTAAGTCCTTTGGGTATAAGCCATGGATAGCTGGGTCAAATGGTGGTTCCATTCCAAGTTTTCCAAGTAATCTCCATACTGCTTTCCATATTGGCTGTACCAATTTGCAGTCCCACCAGCAATGTATGAGTATACCTTTTTCCCCACATCCTCGCCAATACTTGTTGTTTATATTCTTGATAGCTGTCATTCTGACTGGAGTGAGATGAAATCTTAGTGTAGTTTTGATTTACATTTCTCTAATTGCTAGAGATGTTGAACAATTTTTCATGTTTGTTGATTGTGTATCCTCTTCTAAGAAGTGTCTGTTCAGTTCCTTGGCCCATTTACTGTTTGTTTGCTTGTTTGTTTGTTTGTTTTTGGTGTTAAGGTTTTTGAGTGCTTTATATATTCTAGATATGCTTGTGGTAAAGATTTGCTCCCATTCTGTAGGCTCCCTATTCATCTCACTGATTGTTTCTTTTGCTGAGAAGAAGCTTTTTTGTTTGAATTCAGCACAAGAATTAAAACCAAGAATCAATAAATGGGATAGATTCAAACTAAAAAGCTTCTTCTCCAGCCCTTTTTATTTTTTATTTTGAGACAGGGTCTTGCCAAGTTGCTTAGGGCCTCGCTAAATTGCTGAGGCTGGCTTTGAACTTGAGATCTTCCTGCCTCAGCCTCCCGAGCTGCTGGGACTATAGGCATGCACCACAATGCCCAGCCAGAACTAAATCTTAATAACCAGAATCAAACTGTCCTATAAACTCAAGGAAATTGAAAATCATGAGTTGAACCAAGTTATAGTGAAGGGAGCCTTTAACTAATGAGAAAAGAGTATAGATTTCTTTAGCGTAGATGGGGGGACATAGAGGGAATGGAACCACTTCCTGTTTATTCCTTACTGGGCAGAGACCCTTCAATCTACCAGTCACTCTTGAAATCACAGAACACAGTGGCATTGTCATGGCCAGCCCTAGACCAGGTCACGAACCATGAAGGTGAGACTGCAAGGAGGAATCCAGAGCAGTAATGCTGGAGCTTGGAAGAATAAAAAGAAGCTTCCCCAAAGCTGGTGGGAGTGTGAGTGCTGGGCCAGGGACACAGGAATACCACGAGATGGTAAGCAGTGCAATTGTCGCTGTTCTAAAAAAAGGGCCAAAGAGGTGTTGCAGTGGTCACAGCAGGCCACATGCAGGCAGAGTTATAAAGGGACAGAAATCAAGAGCAGGCAGAGCAAGTGGAGGGTTATAAAGAGGAGAAAGTAAAAGAAAGAAAGGCAAAGATGCTGTGAGCAGGAGCCGGGCCTCCACTTAGTCTCAGTGCTGAGCCTCTTCCTTGCCACATGCATCCTTTTTTTTTTTTTTTTTTTCAATATTTTTTTCGTTGTTGATGTAACTTTCCTTTTTTTCCCCTCCGGTATTGGGAATTGAACCCATAGCCTTGTGCATGGGAGGAAAGCACTCAACCAACTGAGCTCTATCCCCAGCCCTCAGGGTATGAGGCTTAATCCTCTCTCCTGATAAAGCATTTCAAAGCTACCTCCACTGCTAACTCAGGGCCTCTCTGATCTTCCATTCCTTCCTTCTTTGCTTCCAATTCTGTTTTTCAAAGTTGCAAAGAGCCATCTTGCAGGGAAGGGCTCTCTTGGTGGGGGGCTAGGGCTGGGGGTAGGGACCAAAAGGAAGGAGCGGGCCAGCCAGAGTTCCCCTCAGAGAAAGAGAGCAGAGAGGCTCCGAGCAGTCATTGATCAGTGACTTTCAGTCCATCAAGCAATGAGTGTGCAGGTTCTTTGCAGCTCAGTGACTTTGACCAGGACACCACAGGCAGTTACTTGGCCTCTAGAACTCTAGGTTGTTCTATTTCACTGTGTGCTGATTCCTGTCTCATGGGTAGCTTGGAGGGTTGATGTGTGGCCTGGGCGATGTGCAGGGTCCTCTTGAGCCCAGTGGCTCTGTGGACACACAGGAGTTTGGAAGTGCAGCTGCCATAGCCCAGGGGACACGGCTCTTTTTGCAGCCCTCAGGACAGGAGGGCTTTTGCTCAGCTCCCAAATCCATCTCCTCTGGGGTCAGGGTCCTTCTCTGTGCTACTCTGGGCTCTCTCTGGGTCCCTGCCCCCTGGGTGTTGGTGGCTGTGGCAGTCTTCTGCTCCTGCTGTGCCCTGTGTGTGCTCTTCAGCATGCCCCAGGGTGGCTGCGTGTTCCCTTAGGAGAGTCCAGGGGAGGAAGGCTGCCTGTCCATGTGCTTCCTTGGCCAGCCTGGTGAACCAGGGCCAGAGAGACAGTGTTGCTCACCAGTGCGTGGGATGCTCTGAGCACACAGGGCTTGGATTCCCCTGGCGGCCTGGCCTGTAACGGGCAGGACTAGTGTCAGCAGCTGGCTGCAGGACTGGGAGGCCGTCTAACCCACTTAGCAAATCTGCTGCTTAGAAACACAAACAAATAACGAGTGTGCTAATTACTAGTGATAACAAGGTTTACCGTTTTCAACGGTATCAGCCTACCCAGTCTGCATCTCCCCACAGCCTGTGAGATAGGACAAGTGTTCTTCCTGCCCAAATCTGTGGAGGAGGTAAGCCAGAGCCAGAGGGGTTAGGACACTCGTCCACAGTCACACAGCTAGGTCCAGATTCAAACTCAGGGCTGCATCATCTCCTGCCGGGTCGCGTGGTATTTGCACACCATCTTGTCCACTCACTCCAGGGGGGCCCTTGGCCAGTGAGGAAGCAGTTGGGAGTATGCCATGTCCCTCCAGTGATGGAAAGGTGAGGGGTGAGCACCCCAGGGTGGGCCTTGCAGTGGGCTGCCCTCAGGTCTCAGAAGGTTCCTCTGGCTGGGCCTTGACAGGCTCCAAGGCCCTGGGAGGCATTCTGCTGGTGACTTGGGGACAGGGAGGGGGGCAAAGACCTCAGAGTAAGAGGGTCCTGTGATTCCAAGCCCAGGCATTTACAAACTCACTCCAGGTGAGACCCCTTCTGGGCCAGAGGCGTGATTCCCTTCAGCTGGGGTCGAGGGCGGGCTGTGGCCTCCCCGTTTCTGTACTTGCTCTGAGTCAGTGCTTCATAAGTGTTCTTTCATCTCCGTGGCCACCCAGGAAGAGGCTGTGCGGGGTGGGGGAGGCAGCAAGAGGGAGGCCGAGGCTGAAGGGGGAATGACTTCTGGAGTCGTTCCCAGCCAGAGACTCCTTGCAGCTGGGCGAAGACCTTTGCCGTTTGGGGAGTGCTTTCTACAGGGGACCCAGGATGACTCTCAGCCCATTTTACAGTTGAGGGCACAGGCCTAGAGGAGAAAAGAATGCCAATAAGTTCCAACCCGTGCCCAGCCTGCTCAGGCACCCTTATAGGGACCCGAGGCGGTAGGAGCTGTTACACCCATTTATCCCAGTTCCTGGATGGTGGAGAGAGGAGGGACACGCGGACGACAAAGTGTCATGGGTGATCGGTGCTCTTATTTCCGTGGCCCAGGAGGGCGGGTGGAGAAGTGGGTGTGAAAGGGTTAACTTCATTTTGGCTGTCATTCCCTTTTGGCATCTGCGAGTAAACTTAATAGGATCTCGGCTTTCCTGTTGCTTCACCAGTGAAACAGAAACCAGACCACAAGGGGGTCTGGAGATGGCGATGCCTCTTGGTGGGCAGGCAGCAGGGCCTCCTCAGAGACAGCACCAGGAAATGACTGCTGGAAACGGCCACTCTGGGTTCTCCTGGCACCCGGGTGAGGGCAGGGCCAGGGAACTGGGGTCTCCTGACACTCTGGCTCCAGGCAGAGGGGAAGATGGCGGGTGCAGGGTCCGTGGACTGGTGCTCGGATCCTGGCTCTCCCACCTTTACACCTTTGAGGCTTAGCCTGCCGGGGTTCTTGCCTCTCAGGGTTCAGTGTAATAAAGTGTTAAGCCCGGGACAGAGCGTGCCCAGCTCAATGCCCGCTAACTCTACCCAACTTCTGGTTTTTCTTTCTCCTCCTCCCCTACTCCTCATTTTGATCTCAGCTTGAATGTCACTGCCTCCAGGAAGCCCTCTGCTACCGGACTGGTGATGCTCCTTGGGGCCCCATTATAGGCCCAAGGGTGCCCCCTTGCTCCCCTGCCCTCACCCCCTCCTACTTCTCTGGTCTCTCCTAGGGTGGGAGTCGAGTGTGGCTCTTTCACCTTGACCTTGGCAGAGGGTCCTGCCCCATTCACAACCTTATAAGGGAAGGGGACTGGGTGTGGGGTGGGGGGCAGGTCATCAGGTCACCAGGTGCCCTCTGGGAGCCCTGAGCCAGGGGATTTAGGCGATCCCCAGGTCGGGACTCTCCTGCCAGGACCACTTTTCTCTCTGCGGTGGTTTTCATTATTTTACATTCCCAGACTATTTTGGAAGCTGGCTGCCATGGGAACCGAGTCTCTGGAAAGCCCCAGCCTCTTTTTTTTCCCTCCTGCCCCCACCCCTTTCCATCTCTATTCCCTCTTAATTGGTTTTTAGTTCCCTGGCTTTCAGGCCAGTCTGTTTATTTTGATTGCAACTCAACAGAACAAACCTTTAATGAACCAGCTTGTGGAGAGAGCCATTAGCAGCCGCCCGCCTCGGGGAGTGGGGGAGGCGCAGGCCTGGGCTGCAGCCCCCCAGGGGAGGTTTTGGCCAGGCTTCGGTGGCGGCCAGCTCTTGGGCCCAGTCTTCCTTCAGGTACAGTCTAGAGAGTTTGGCCTCCCCAAGCTGTCTGCAGCCTCAGCTGAGATGACCTCCCAGCCTTTGAAAAGACGAGGTGGCTTCACAGAGCTCCCGGGTCCCCCAGGGCCCGAGAGGGGCGCACCCAGCTCTACCCCACTGTGCAGACCTGGGGGTGAGGCTCAGCAGAACCCAGAGACCCGAGTCTCGGCCAGCAAACTGTCCTTTGGTAAACCGGGACCAGGGCCCTTGTCCTTCCCCTTGAGGAAGGCACCGATGGTTTCCCAGGACTGTCAACTTGTCCTCGGGCCAAAGCCACAGTGATGGTCCAGGCCGGGCTCTACTAGAAAGGCCCTGGCTTTCTGGAGCAGATTCTTCTCTGTTTTGCCCCTTCTCTAACACAGAGCCATCTGGACCCCCACTATTTAGAGGGCTTCTTCATGGACGCAGTGGAATCACATGGTCCCGGAGCCTTGCAGACAGGACCCTGCGGATCCCAGGGTGCTGTTGTGAGCGCAGAGCTCAGAACGATCCGGGCAGCTTCCTTACCTTCAGCCAGCCCCGGCTCCGGGGTGACCTGAATGGATGAGGCTGGTTTGCCCTTTCATACTGACCTTGTCCTGCCAGAGCTGTTGACCTCAGAAGTGGAGGCCCTGGATTGCTGGGGCCTGAGGAACATGGGTGGGCCGGCCTCTCCCCATCTCTACCTCCCTCGACCCTCACCTGCCATCACCCAGGTGGGCTGAGCTCCCTTTCCTCTAGGTGACTGGGTGAAGGAGGAGGCTCTTCTGGCCAGTGGAGGTCAGAGCAAGTCGCTCGGGGTCTCGGGGAAGGTTTCTTGTTCCTAACGGGAACAAAAGAAAAAAGACGTGTTTTCTTCTTCCTGGTCTATAGGTGACCTGGTACCATGGTCGCCATCCTGTGTCCCTGAAGGAAGCTAGGATGAGGACAAAGCCATCCCTGGAGGTCCGCAGACTGCCAGATGACCCTGGAGAGCAGTAAACTATCCCATCCCTGGGGTGGGCCTGTCTTTGAACTTCTGGACTCTCCTTGCAATACATTTCCATATTATTTACACTGGTTTAAAGTATTATGCTAACTTTCTTTCTTATCTTCTTCTTATTATTTTTATTTTAGCTGTGTATTTTTGTCTGCCTGCTTTTATTTTTATAGCCACACCAGGTTGTGGGCTCAAGGATAGAAGACACAGACATTCACAGTTGCCATGTATATCAATTAGGAATTACTTTGGCTGCTTAAACCCTAAACAACTAAGTGAATACTTTTCTCACTTAATGGGGAGCCTGGAGAAGGTGATCCAGCTGAGCTCAGCTGTTGAAAGGAGTCATTAGGAATCAAGGTTCTTGCTATTTCCCTGTTCTTGCCATCCTTGATTGAATTTTCTTCACATGGTCATCAATGGCTGCATCACTTCCAGCCATCATATCTGAGTTCCGTGCTGGGGATGAAGGATGTAGAAAAGGAAGTTTGTGCCATCTGAATCTGTGTTTTTGTCAAGAAAACCATACCTTTCCAGAATCCTTACCCTAAAATTCTCTACATCTGTCATTGGCCAGAAGTGCACGACATGGACATCTTAGCTAGATTTATGGGACTTTTGTTTGGCTACCCCAAACAAACTTAGGATTTTGTTAAAAAAGAGAGAGGGTGGGAAATAGATCCTGGGAGGGAAAGGGGCATCTTTTGCGGTGGGCTTGGCCAGCCCAGCTCAGCAGGGCAACTGAGACGGGAATGAGCCCAGAGGGTGTGACCTGGCTCAGAATGGTCTGGGGCCACGTGGGCCTCTATTTACTGCCTTCCCTCCATCACCCCCAGCCCCACAGATGCCAAAGCGGTCTCTCCACAGCACCTGCTCTGTCACATGTCACACTACTCCTCTGTCAGAAATCTCCCTTTGTTCAAAGGATGTGGTCAAAATGCCCGGGCCCCATATTTCAGGTCCTTCCAGGACGGGCGACAAACCACCTCTCTGGCCTGATTTGTCCTCTGTGTTCTGCCCCTTTTGGGTGGTGCCCTTGATTTGTTCTCATGTGACATCTCCCATCCTCTCTACCTGGCAGACCCCACCACCTTTAGGGTCACCTCATCCCCGAAGCTGACTCTCCTGCTCTGGACCTTCTCTGGGTTCCCTCCGTGCGAGTTGTGCTACTTAAATAGAGCATTTGTTGAGTATCAGCCACCTCAGAACACGCCCGCGTGTTTACACGCCCATGTCTTGCACGTCAAAGATGCTCTGTAAGTGTTCACGTCTTCTTTCCAAGCTTCCCATCTCTGGCAACCTCCGGCCAGGGCCCTTGGAAGATTGATGGATTTCAAAACACTGTCTTGGGAATATTCTTGCAGTGATTTAAAAAGTCCAATGTCAATATCGAACTGCTGTGGCCACTAATGGTCAGTTCTGCCAAGATGGGCATCCTGTCTTGCCCATCATGATGTCCCCAGCACACAGTGAGGTATCTGGGGCTCTTAGGCACAAATAAAACAAAAACAAGCAGAAAAAAAAAAACACCCACTTGTTGCAAGCGTCCTAAGGAAGCTCTCCTGAACAGCTCCCGGTGGACCCCACATGCCTGAATCCTTATCCTCCCCTGCAGCCTGGAAGCAGCTTCTCCCCTCCCAGTCCTAGTGGGGGTGTTGAGAAGCCCAATCCCGCAAGCCCGTTTAGAGAGACCAGCCAAGGAGTCTCTTATCTGAGGTTGCAGTTCCAGGCTTGGCACAGCAGTGTCACCAGGAACATCAATGCCCAGGGGCGGCTGGGAGGCCACCATGCTTCCCACTTCACTCTCCAGGATGGATGCTGAGCCACAGTGGGAAGTGAAGGGTGGGAAGGAATGGTATTGGGGTAAGGAGCCAACGGCAGGCACCTTCCTTTTGTTTGAAGATAAGGGACAGGGGCTTGGCAAGATTAAGTGACTTGCCAACATCCCATAGTAGGTTAGGAGCAGAGCTGGGGTCTGTCTGTCTCTGAAACTGTCATCTTCATGATGCAAGATAGGTGTGTGTGTCACAGAGCAAGTGTGTGTGTGTGTGTGTGTGTGTGTGTGTGTGTGTGTGTGTGTGTGTCTGGATGAGGGAACTCAGACTCTGGGGACCTCTATCCTAGGGTCTGATGATTGTGGCTCTGCGGACACAGCCCCTCTGGATTTGGAACTCCTTCTCCTTGAAAATGGACTTTATCAGGAAGGGATGGGATGGGATGGGATGGGATGGAAAGGAAGCACTACGTGCCTTAATATTTTAAAATTTTAATTTTCAGAATAGGCACAAATGAAAAGAACACAGCTCAATTAATTTTCCTAAAGGGGACACTCCTGTGTCTAAAACCCAGTAAGAGAAACAGCACATTACCAGAACCCCAGCAATTCTCTTCTTGACCATGTGTAGTCCTTACATCCCCCTTGCCAGGGCTAACCATCATCCTGAGCAAAACAATTTGGGCTGTTTGGGTACTTATAGATGGAACTATATACTATGTACTCACGTGTGTGAATTCTTTGTTCAAAATTATACTGGTGAGGATTATCCATGTCATCATGTAAGCTGGGGTTCTTATTGTTATGCTGCATAGTATTCTACTTTATGACTATACTTCAATTTATCTATTTTACTTTGATGGGTATTTTGAAAAACTAGTTTTTAGCTATGACGTATGGTGCAGCTATAAGCATTTTGAACATGTAAAGTCCTGTTGAATGTATATTGGGAGTGGAATCTATGGGCAACAGGAAGGTGTCTATTTAGTTTTAGTGGGTAGGGGCGAAAGTTTTCAAAGGAGTAGTATTAATTTCCACTCCTATCAAGTTGCTCTGTCTTCTTGCCAACACTTGGTATTATCAGTGTTTTTAACTCTTTTGTTGAGTAGGTATATAATGGTATCTCATGATGGCTTAATTTTCATTTGTGTTTCCTGATTGACTAACAAAACTGAGCACCCTTTCATGTGTTTATTGATCATTGCTATAGCTTTATCTTTTAAATTGAACTACCCTGACAGAGAAACGGGCAGAGGCCTTCTGAGAAGGTGTGTGGTTTCTGAGCTTGGGAAGGTTTGGGAGGCACAGATCAGCTGCTTCATGGCCAAGCAGAAGAGGAGTGAGTACTTGGGGTCCAGCACTGCGGTGATGACTAGTCCCACCAGCAAGGAGGCAGGGGGATTCCCTGGGCACAGCGTGGGGAAAGAGCTGTCCTTGGTTCTAGCACTTATTAGTTGCCACATTTGGGACAAGTACCTTAATTTTCACCTCTGTCAAATGGAAAGAGTGATGCCAACTCTACAGGATTCTTGTGCAATTTAAATGAGATGAGATGTGAACATTGTTGTAGCAAAGGACACAGAAAGGGTCATCTGTAGCTGCAGGCCCAATACATGATAGTTTCTATTACTATATTATTGTTATTATTTTGGTATTAGAGATTGAACTCAGGACCTTGCACTTGATGCTAGGTAAGTGCTTTACCTCTGAAATATATGCCCAGCCTTTTTTTTTTTTTTTTTTACAATTTTATTTTGAGACAGGGTCTCACTAAGTTCCTAAGGCTGGCCTTGAATCTGTAATCCTCCTGCCTCAGCCTCCCAAATTTCCGGGATTACAGGCATGTGCCACCGCAAGACTTCCTTTTTATGCTTAGAAACTTATCTCTCAGACTTCTACCCTTGCCTTAAGAAATTTGCAGTCTGAACTGAGTACAGTAGTGCATGTCTGTAATTCTAGCAGCTTGGAAGGCTGAGGCAGGAGGATCCCAAGTACAGGATCAGCCTCAGCAACTTAGTGATTTAGTGAGACCCTATCTCAAAAAAAAAAAAAAGAAAAAGAAAAAGAAATAAGGGCTGGGATATGACTCAGTGGTAAAATGCCTCTGGGTTCAATCTCCATGACTATAAATAAAATAAAAAGTTACCAGCCTAAGTACTTGTCTTTCTTCTCATATCCTGATCTAAGGTCCTTAGAACCCAACACATAAAATGAAATAAAAAGTAGTCATTTCTCCTAAAAAGATGCTATATAAAAAATGTGGGGGTTGGGGGCAGAGCTCAGGGGTAGAGCACTTGCCTAGCATGCACAGATTCTGGGTTCTATTCCTACACCCCCAAATAAATAAATAAATAAATAAAAATCAGAGTTTAGTTTTTTCTTGCTATAGTAAGTTAGTAAAAGTCATATTTTATATCCAGCACAGCAGCTCTCTGTCAAGCAAGGGCTTTCCATGGTTTGGATGTGACTCATCTACCCTCATCTTTGTCCTCTGTTTTATCATGAACCCTGGGGGAAGAGGAATGGTCAGAGAATTGTCAATGGAGGAGCGCCAAGAAGTTCATGGTCAAAACCAGCCCCAAGGACTGACAGAATTAAGTCCTCACTAGGCTGGTGGCTTTCAGAAGATGAAATTTTCCCTGGAGTACCAAAATGTAACAAGCTTGATTTTTTTTTCCTCCATCCTGACTTCGTGTCCCAGAGAGTGGATTTGGGACACAAAAATATCCAAACACCATTTTGCTGAGGATGGCAGTTGGGGAGAAATATCCTCTGGTTGGAAGCCCAAGACACAAGGACAGAAGCAAAACATTTGGCTGACTTTTCAACTTGCCTGGGGTCATCGGAGTCCAAGTCCACCTCTCCTCCAGGAATAGTCTGGAATTGCAGTGGCCACTTTGGGGGTTACGTTTAACATGACCAAAATGGTTCATCTTGAAGGTACCTGAGACCAGGGGGTAACAAACTTTTTCCATGAAGGGCCAGATCATCAGTATTTCAGGCTGCGTAGCACGTCTCTTTTGCTGACTACCTGACTCCGCTGTCAGGTGTTAAGAGTGACGAAGACAATGGAGTCCAACACACCTTATCTACCACAGAAGGCCCGGGTCAGAGTTGGCCTGTGGGCTGTAGTTTACAGAACCCGGCTCTGGGCTGTCCCTCACCTGCCAACATCATCTGGGTGAACAGTCAAGGTCGGGGCAGGGATGGGAACAAAGACCTCAAGGCCTACTTGAAAACCTCTGAATGAATTTTATATAATTGTACTCTGTGATGAAACATGGATGTGTCCTCTGAGTTTTGCTTGCAAGTGTGTTTTCAGATTTCCTGAAGACTTTCTTTGTTAAAGACTGTCAATCAATCAATCAATCAACCCAAACTATTCAACATTGTGTTTTTTCTAAAGGAATTCCCAATCTATGATGCTACTGATAGGTGTCATTTTTCTGAGAAGGCCACTGATGACCTCTGCCTGACATGGATAATTTACTCAAAATGTCCTCTGTCCACTCATCTCCCAATCTACTAACGACCTAGAAAGAACAAAGGGAATTTGCATTTTCCTGGTTTGAAGCCTGCCCTTGGCCTCAGCAGCAGTAAGTTCAACTCCTTTGAGAATTCATCAGTTCTGTCCTTTCGAGTCGGTAACAGGCCTACAAAGTGTGGAGGCATATCATCTCTGATCCTAGACTCTGCTGCTAGAAGCAAGTATAGCCAAATAGTGCGAAGGATCCATGCCATATGCCAGTGTCATTACTGACAACCCCCAGTCCATCCCTGAACAACCTCAAAGCTCCAATGAATTTTTTTTTGGTGTATGTGGGGGGAGCATACTGGGATTGAACCCAGGGACACTTTACCACTGAACTACATCCCCAGTTCTTTTTATTTTTTTACTTTGAGACAGGGTCTCACTGAGTTGCAGTTCTCCTGTCTCCGTCTTCTGAGTTACCGTGATTATAGGCATGTGTCACCATGCCTGGTTTCAATATGTCATTTTTAAAAATAAAAAGATTGTTCTGGCAGAAACATTATAGTGTTAACCCTGGTTTGGAACATTAGGATTCCTAAAACTTGGAGGGAAAAAAAAAATATATATATATATAGATAGATAGATAGATAGATATATAATCACATAAATTACTCAAAAGCATCATTGTTTTCAATGGAGTTCATATTCCCCTTACTATGCAGTTCAAAAGAAGTGAAACCACGGAGCCCAAAGCAGAGTTCTTGGGGTGCAGAGCAAGACTCTGTTGAGAGGCCTCAGACTTCTTTCCCTGGCAGATAAACAGTTCCGAGAGTGAAGGGCTCAGGACCCCTCTGCTACCTCTTCTGTGTGGAATTAGGCTTGGTCCTCCCAGACTTGCTGACCCTCAAGTGACCCTTCTAAATCCAGATAATCCTCTGAGGGTCAATCCACAAACCCATCACCCTCAGCTCCATCAGAGCCTGAAAATCTCCAGGGCCAGCCTGCAGGGAAGCCGGGGCCCTCTCCTAGCTGGTGGGAATGGCGTACTGGGTCTGGTGCGAGGGTCTGGCAGAGGTGCCTAAGCCTGGGAGTCAAGAGGGTCTTTCTGCTTTCCTGTTCGCGATTGTTGAAGGAAGAAGAAATTCACTTAGAATCAGTCTGGATCCAAATTCGCTTTGTTCTTTGGGCCTGCAAAGACACTCCAAAGGGACGTCTAAAAAAGGGGCAGGGGTGACCCAAAGGTAATGGAAACACACGGGGGAGGATAAACCCCAGAGATGCCCGAGCCGGTTCCCAGACTGCAGCCCTGACTGGAGGGAACAACAGAGACAAACTTAATCCCTGTCCTCAGAGAGACCTGCCCACTGGGCTTTAGCAAAAGCCGCTGAGCTTTTTCTCTGTTCCTGGAGAATTCTGACAAAATAGCCCCGAGCCCCTCAAAGCAGGGGAGCAGAAGTCCACCCACCCCGGCTGGATCAGGCGCCTTGGCCAATCTGATGAGTTCTGTGTCTGCAGGGACTTAGCGGCGCTGGCAATGGGGAGCTCAGTATGTGTCCTGAGTCAGAAAGAGCCTTTGTCATCCAGTCCTGATTCCTTCAAGTACAGCTTTGAACACTGAGGAAGGGAGCGGGGTGAGCCCGCCCTCGTCCTGTGGATCCGACAATATCGCAAATGCACAGCTCCAGGTTCCCAGTCTAACCCTCTTCCCAGAGGGTAGCCTGATGGGGGTGAGGAGCTTAGAGTATGTGCTGTTCGTTCGTTCGTTCGTTCATTCATTCATTTATTGAATATCAGCTTTGTGCCTAGTCCTGAGAAAGGTCTGCAGGAGACTCAGGGGAACTCACCCCATGACCTTTGCACTCCAGGAACTTCAATCTAAATTTGCAAGCACAGACACAAACTTCCATGTGTGTGTGCCCACAAGCAAACACATGCATGCACACGTCCACACACATACAGACTTGCACCCAGGAACGCTTAGGTTGTAACAGTGTCCCTTCCGTAACGAACCGTAAGTCAAGGTGTCAGAGGTGATCTATGAGTGAGGAATGGGATGCACTGGGTGGGTTTGCTCCCTGGTGCTCAGAGAGCTTCTTCCTCTGAACCCGAGTGACAATCGAGTCAGAGGCCTGTCGGCCACACTCCCCAGCCCCAGGCTTGCACAATGATAGTGATTTGGGGATTCAGTTCTATTGGTCTGAATTGCAATGGGACTTTTGGGGCAGAAGTGATAAGTCCGGGGCTGAGACAGTGGGGACTGGGCGAGAGAACTGAGGGGCCCTCTCTGACAGGTTTCCTGAGATTCAGACCTTGTCTAGAGCCTGAGGCCTTCCTTCCTCCCCCGGGTCCAGGCCCTGGAGAGCTTCTAAATGGGACCTTAAGGCTGTGAACGACGCTATACCAAACTCCAGACTCCTATGGGGTGTCCTGGGATGGGCTTCTCCAGAGGGCACTTCCAGTCACCTGCAGAGTCAGGGCTGTTCTCCAAGGTTCCCCAAGCCTCCAAGCCCAGGATCTAGCTCAGAGCCATCAAGGGAGGACACAGTCTCTTCTGAATGAAAACACAAGGAAAATGTACCTGAAAGTGAAAGGACAAATCCAAGGTAAATAACAAAAGGAGCACAGGCCCCGGAGAATCGCTGCAGAGGGACTTTTCTACCAAAACAAATTGTCCATTAGAGTAGTCACGGAGGTACCATCAGTGACGCCACGGTCTCTAAATTTCAGGGCTCATTTTGAGGATTCATCTTTTGAGTCTTAGTACATTCTTCAAGGGTAAAGAGTCTATCCTTTGTGGGTAAAGAGAATTCTTGGAAATTATGGACCCAAAGTCATCCCAAGCAAATGCAGCCCACTCCATTCATTTCTGTTCAATTCAACACATATTGATAAAGTGCTCACAGCCTGCCAGGCACTGGTGTGGACTCTCGGGATTAGTTAAGCCCTGGCTCTGCCCTCCTGAAGCTGACATCTTAGTGGGGTGGGGGACAGAATCTGCACTTGAAGGAAGTTTATGGAAGGATTGGATGCTGTCAGAAGTGTAAGAGGAAGCAAGGTGGGTGAAGCAGAGCCCTGAGGAGTGGGCAGGAGGAGATGGGATGAACAGGGGAGGGGAAGGAGGATGAGCATTTTGACTCACAGGAAAAGCGTAAAGGAAACAACACCAGCCATCATTTATTGAGCACAGATTCTGCATCATGAGGTGTCCAAGCAATTTATGTAGATGATCTCATTTTATCTCCATGATACACTTTTGGGGTAAGGTGGTACTATTATCCCCAAATGATAGATGAGGGAACTGAGGCATGGACAGAAGAAGAAATTTCCCATTTTGTAAATAGCAGGACTGGAATCCAAACCCAGGAGTCCAGAGTCTCCTTCCCTATTGTGCTAGAGAGCATCGACATGCTCACACAGAGCGCCTTCTTTGAGTAAGAATGATGTGGGGGCTGGGGATGTAGATCAGTTGGTAGAGTGCTTGTCTCACATGTGCAAGGCTCTGGGTTCAATCCCCAGAACTGCGTACACACACACACACACACACACACACACACACACACACACACACACACAGTGATGTGCAGTTCACTAAGAGCCCGGGAAGAGGTGCTGCTGTGGAAGTGTTAAGTTGGTATGATCTTTCAGAAGAATGTGATGGCAACCTGTGTTAAAGAGGCTTAAAGGTGTGCACCCTCTTTGAAGCAGTATTTTCACTTCTAGAAATCTATCCCAAGGAAATAACCAGAAATGTGCTTAAGGTGTGCAATGCAAGATGACCTAAATGGCCCTCGGTAGGAGATAGTTAGGTAAATCATAGCCTATGACTATATGAGTATTATGTAGCCTTTAAAAGTAAAAATCGTGGGCTGGGAATATAGCTCAGTTGGTAGAGTGTTTGCCTTGCATGCACAAGGCCCTGGGTTCAATCCCCAGCACCACAAAAAAAGGTAAATATTGTGCCAGATGTCGTGGTGCATGCCTGCAATCCCAGAGGCGGGAGACTGAATCAGGAGGATCACAAGTTCAAAGCCATCCTCAGCAAAAGTAAGGTGCCAAGCAACTCAGTGCACCCTGTCTCTAAATAAAATGCAAAACAGGAATGGGGATCTGGCTGGGGATGTGGCTCAGGGGTCAAGTGCCCCCAGAGTTCAATCTCTGGTGCCAAAAACAACAAAAAAAACTCCCTCCCTCCAAAAAATGAAAACCAAACTAAAAATTGTGGTTGTGCCTCTTGATTTGTGTCCCAAAGGTGCATTGTGGAAGTTTGGGAGAGGTCTGTGAAGAGAGAGGGAGGGCAGCACCACCCCACCCCAGGACAGCAGGGTAGTCAGCTGCTAGGACCCCTGGGTAGTCAGCTGGGTAGTCAGGGAGGCCAGGCAGAGGTGGGGCCTGCAGAAGGGAAGGAGGCTTAGCTCCAAATAATCCTGACCCAGGGGAGGGAGTGAGGGAGTAGGGTGTGGCAGGCGAATGGACAGCCAGGGCCCTGGCACCGGCTCCAGGCTCTGGGTTTAAAGAGCTTTAAAAGCTTATTAAAAAGGTTCCTTAGACATCAAATGGCTCTTAAAAATCAATATTTTGATGATTTAAGTGCAAGGGAATCAGAAACATATGGATCAAATTGCCCTCAAATTATACACACTTTAAAAAAATGTGTTGGTCTTTAGCAAAGCTCCAAATATTTGAAAAACAGAGACATTATCCTCATCTCCAGACAGAGCTCTGCTAGGTCACCTTGAAGAGTCCCCAGAGGAGGTCCATGGGAGCGGGCAGGGCTCAGAGGGAGAGGGGTGGCAGCTCCTCTAGCAGGGCCTTCAGGGAGGAGGGCTGCGAGGTGTGTGAGAACACACAGGCACATTCTCCTCTGGATGTACTGGACCCGTCCTGAGCCCAGGGAACCGCCAGCCTTGTCCCATCACATCCTGGCCAGATGTATTTGTGTGTCCAGGCCTGGACTCCACCCAGAGTCTGGGGGGTGAGTTCCTTGGGTCCTCCTTCCTGAGCCTGCCCTCTCTCCCTAGCAGTGGACATGCTGCTGTCCCACCCTGAAGGCCAAGAAGAACACAGGCCTCCCCTGGCTAGTGGTGACCAAATATCGCTCAGCTGTTGGCTTGTCGTGCAAATGAGATCTTACACACGAAGGCAAGTGCATATCTAATGAGATATGCCATGGCTCTGGTCTCCAGAAGAAGGTGTGGCCTCTCAGAGCAGACTGTGGAAACCACAGAACTCATCCCAAGTCCTCATTTCACCAAGGCCCAAAGCAGGAAGACCAGAGACCCACCAGCAAGGCCAGGGGGAAAGTTGTTGCCACACACCACTTCCCTTTATCTCACTGCAAAGAAACTTTGAGTTTCCTGAACTCCCTCTGCCTCTGCCCTGGACCAAGGCCCTGCCTAGGGGTGGCACCCAGCTGTCAGGCACTGGGGACCCAGAGGTGTAGGTGCTGCATTGTCCAGTGATCCTCTGACTGAGGGCCGCCTGTGCTCTCTTCCACCCATGGAGGAGGCCCTTGGGTGGCCAGTGGGGAGCTCTGACACTTGGGCTCTGCTACCCATGG